GTAGCAGTCCCCGCATGCGGCCTGTGCCACTGGATCCTTCGTTGGAGCTCCCTGTGGGGCCACGAACCGTGTGAGGGGTGTGCCAAAATGGGTCCGGTCCCCGCATGCGGCCTGTGCCACCGGGGCCTTCGGTGGAGCTCCCTGTGGGGCCACGAACCGTGTGAGGGGTGTGCCAAAATGGGTCCGGTCCCCGCATGCGGCCTGTGCCACCGGGGTCTTCGGTGGAGCTCCCTGTGGGACCACGAACCGTGTGAGGGGGTGTGCCAAAATAGGTCCGGTCCCCGCATGCGAACTGTGCCACTGGGGCCTTCGGTGGAGCCTTCTGTGGGGCCACGAACCGTGTGAGGGTGTGCCAAAATGGGTGCGGACCCCGCATGCGGCCTGTGCCACTGGGGCCTTCGGTGGAGCTCCCTGTGGGGCCACGAACCGTGGGAGGGGTGAGCCAAAATGGGTGCGGTCCCCGCATGCGGCCTGTGCCACTGGGGCCTTCGGTGGAGCTCCCTGTGGGGCCACGAACCGCGTGAGAGGTGTGCCAAAATGGGTGCGGTCCCCGCATGCGGCCTGTGCCACTGGGGCCTTCGGTGGAGCTCCCTGTGGGGCCACGAACCGTGGGAGGGGTGTACCAAGATGGGTGCGGTCCCCGCATGCGCCTGTGTCACTGGGGCCTTCGGTGGAGCTCCCTGTGGGGCCACGAACTGAATGAGGGGTGTGCCAAAATGATAGACATACGGAGAGCAGAGGCAAGGAGGGGGAGGAGGGGGGAGGGGGCAGCGGGAGGAGGAGGAGGTGACGCGGGGCGCTGTCTCTTCAAAACGAGGACCCAACACCACAGGATGGTTGGGAAATATAATGACTGCAGGGTGAAGCGAGGAGAGGACTTGCGGCGGGACGGTGTACTGCAGCATCGTTGATGCATCTGGGGTTTGCTTGGGTCTCCTTCCTCCCCTTCCTCCCGACCCCTCCTCCTCCTCCTCCTCCTCCTCCTCCTCCTCCTCCTCCTCCTCCTCCTCCTCCTCCCTTTCAACCTCCCCCGCCATCGGACGACCAATCACAAGATCAAAGTCGTAACTGGGGCGGATTGACAACCTCGTGACTCTATGCCGCGGGCGGCCCCGCCGAAGCGTACTCGCTGCAGCCCCAGCATCGTGCCGCCTGCTCCTCCCCCGGGTGCCCTCCTCCTCTACTCCTATCCCTCCTTCCTCCCTGCCCCGTCCCGCCCCCCTTATCACCCACTCCCCCGTCCCTCCTCTCCTCCCCTGAGATCCGACGCTGCAAAAAAACGCGACATCCAAGAAGACAGCTACACGATCAGAGCTCTGGACCCCACCTTTCTGCGTCTGGTCTCGAGGCACGTCGATCTGTGAGAGCCCCGGGGCCCGAGATTGGGCGGAACCGCCCCCATGGTGAAAAAAACAGTGCAACTGCGCCGCCGGGATCTCAGAGGCCCCCCTGCCACCCCCTCCCCTGCCCCCCCAATAACCTACGGCGGGGTCGTGTCGGGACGACTTGCGCGGTGGAGTCTGACGCCGCGAGGATCGTTCGACCTTTAAACGATCAGCGGCCTTCCGATCGCCGGGTCGTCCCGCACTGGCCGACCCTGGGCCACGGGCGGCGTTCAGTCTTGAGCACCCGCACTGGGACCGTCGCCTCAGCGACACGGAACGAAACTACCGCAGTACGGCAGGCTCCTGTCGTGCCGACTTCGGCGTTGGTGCCTGACACCGCGGGGACCTCTCAACCCTGAACGATCAGCCGGTTCCGAAACGTCACGTAGCTCAAGATTGACTGGTTCTGGGTCGCCGGCGGCGTTCGACGTGATACACTGGCGGCGGGGTCGTCGCCACATCGACACGGCACGAGCATACAAACATGGCACTGCCAGAAGGAACAGCCAATGATGAGCGAAGGGGCCGCACTGGCCAAGGCGGGCCTCGTCCACGAATAGGTTCCAAGACCTCGACCTAAGGAACGGCCCGAAAACCCGAGCCCCTCCGAAGCCCTAAGTGGTCCTTCTGTCAGCGCCCTGTCTGTACCCCATTGCGACACTTGCGACACGTACGACACACCATGCGGTTCGCCGAGCTGTCCAAGCCAAAGACGCAACACTCCGCTCAAGACTACCGCTGTGTGGGGGGAGACCCTCCGCGGCCAAGGCTCCCCAGCCCACGGAGACGCCTTTCGAATCAGTTGTCGAATTAGTCGTCCTAGCGCGAGTGTATCCGCTGGCGCGAAGCTGGGGGAACACGGGCACGGGGTGCAAATTTGCCAAACTGAACACGCGTCACCGTCCTCAAAGAGTTGGCTCCTGAGGTCGGACGGTGATCGCTGCACTCGCAGCGGGGAGGCTCCCCCCCCCCAATTTGGCTGCCCCGATAAGCGACACGCGCCCCGCAGCGCGTTGACACGGATCTCAGCACGTGGACTGAAAACGCAGGTCTGGCGCGATTCGTTCGCGGAAATGTGGGCCAACACATGGAGCCAACGCGCAGCGTGACGTTTGAGCACGAAACGTGTTCCGTGTCGAAACGGACGCATCAGGGCAGCTAAGCCCCCAAATGTTCTGGCCTGGCCCGAGCCATCGACCCGGATTTAGAACAAGGTCTTGGCGGGCCTGTTGGAGATCGCACGCTGCAGCCCTGGACGTGAACGAGGAGAGGAGGGCGGAGAGAGGAGAGCTGAGCAGAAGGAGGAGAGGGTCTGGATTGCTGTGGCCTCGGATAACAAACGCTCGAAGCTCCCCTGCTCCTGTCGGCGGATTGCCAAAAGCAACACCACAGACCAGAGGATTGGAGGATGGGGGAAGGGAGAAAAACGTGACCTGGGACGGGCCAGTCCACCCGAAGAGAGGCCAGCGCGAAAGCGACGCCAGAAAAAAGGGGCTCCGCAACGATCGAGCAGTGGACCGAGGCAAAACATGCCCGACCGACGAACTACCGCCACGCGGGGGTCCCAATGAGCCAAGGCGAGGCGAACAACAGGCCTGAGAACTACATTCAACGGAAAAGCCTCTGGCAAGGAGGAGGAGGACGACGAAACGCTTACAAAAGTAGCTCGCAATAGCCCTGATGCGGTCAGGATCGGAAAAACTGGCCCGACCCCTGCCTCAGAACCAGCCCACAATCCATTTACAGCAGGACGAGCAAGCCGCTTTCTCAGCTCGACGGTGAGTTGCGTCCCGTCGTTTGTCATAGTTGCAGCCTAAGCTGAGGTTCACGAAAGCCTCCTTCTCTGGCGCCCAAACTTCGGGCATTTCACATCGGGGCCCTGTTGGAAACACAACAAAAATTATCCTGGCGAGCCCCACTGAGGGCCCCACTGAGGGCTTCGGTGGAGCTCCCTATGGGGCCACGAATCGCTCTACTGAGTGAGTGAAAATGCAAAATTGGGCTTCCAGGACGCATGCGGACGGTCCCACTGGGGGCTTCGGTGGAGCCCCCATATGGGGCCACGAAACGCTGCGCTGCGCAAAGAAAAATGCCAAAATTACTTTTCCCGGACGCATGCGGACGGTGGCACTGGGGCCTTGGGTGGAGCCCCCATGGGGCCACGAGACGCTGCACTGGGTGCGCGAAAATGCCAAATTGGGCTTCTGGGACGCATGCGGACGGGGGCACTGGGGCCTTCGGTGGAGTTCCCAATGGGGCCACGAAACGCTGTACTGGGCGTGCGGGACGCATGCGGACGGTAGCGCTGGGACCTTCGGTGGGGCCCCCTATGGGGCCACGAAACGCTGTACTGGGTGTGCGGGACGCATGCGGACGGTAGCGCTGGGACCTTCGGTGGACCTCCCCATGGGGCCACGAAACGCTGTACTGGGCGTGCGGGACGCATGCGGACGGTAGCACTGGGGCATTCGGTGGAGCACCCTATGGGGCCACGATACGCTGTACTGGGTGTGCGGGACGCATGCGGACGGTAGCGCTAGGACAATCGGTGGGGCTCCCTATGGGGCCACGAAACGCTGTACTGGGCGTGCGGGACGCATGCGGACGGTAGCACTGGGACCTTCGATGGGGCTCCCTATGGGGCCACGAAACGCTGCACTGGGTGTGTCAAACGCAGGGAGGAGGGGGAGGAGGGCCACGAAACGCTGTACTGGGTGTGCGGGACGCATGCGGACCGTAGCACTGGGACCTTCGGTGGGGCTCTTTATGGGGCCACTAAGCGCTGTACTGGGTGTGCGGGACGCATGCGGACGGTAGCACTGGGACCTTCGGTGGGGCTCCTTATGGGGCCACGAAACGCTGTACTGGGTGTGCGGGACGCATGCGGACGGTAGCACTGGGACCTCCGGTGGGGCTCCCTATGTCGGGAGCGGCCAAGAGGGGGGTGTCCAAGAGGGGGGGTGCAAATCATGACCGGCGGCATGGCGGCATGTGCGCGGCCCAGCGGGGGGGCCAGGGACGTAATGAAATAAGAAGAGGCGCCATGAAATCTGGGGAAATATCATGGCCCACGCCATGAGATCCACCCCCCCCTAGTCATCACCCCCCTCTTTCCCGCCCCCGACTATAGGGCCACGAAACGCTGTACTGGGTGGGTGAAACGCAGGGAGGAGGGGGAGGAGGGCCACGAAACGCTGTGCTGGGTGTGCGGGACGCTTGCGGACGGTAGCACTGGGACCTTCGGTGGGGCTCCCTATGGGGCCACGAAACGCTGTACTGGGTGTGCGGGACGCATGCGGACGGTAGCACTGGGACCTTCGGTGGGGCTCCTTATGGGGCCACGAAGCGCTGTACTGGGTGGGTGAAGCGCAGGGAGGAGGGAGAGGAGGGCCACGAAACGCTGTACTGGGTGTGCGGGACGCATGCGCACGGTGGAGGAGGAGGGTGAAGAGGAGGAGAGAAGGAGAACGCGGGGACCGTCTCTTCAAAA